CCACATACTGTTGTTAACAAAAGAGGTAGCTAAATATGGGGGATCTGCTCTACATATTACGGTACACCCCACCAATAACGAATAAGAGAAAGTCTCCAGGGACCAAATGTCAGGTGAGTACAATATTTAATTAATGAGATTTATGACATCAAGCTTGATGGTATGAGTTAGAACAAGAAGAAGAGGGGTCAACTGTAAAGTGTTATAGCACGTCTAAAGGGCTCATTAAATAATACTAAAAGAATGATTGAGCATCGGGTACAGTTAATTCCTGCATGATAGTTATGTGATCAACATGAAACTTAGGATACTCAATTGTCATTTATAAACTTAAATAGAAGGAAGATCATATAATTCTGTTTGCCACCCTGAGATGTACTGGTAACAAGTAAAGGTGCAACGATATCTAATGCTTTATCCTTTAGGATATGACATGATGGATTTTACTGTACTTCAAGGACTTCCAATTTCTCAAAATGTGTTAACCAAAGGTGAGGATATTTCTGAGATTATCATTACTGTGTATATGCTTATCTATATCACAAACGTATTCTTACCTTCTTTAGCTTTAAAGCAGCAACAACAGCAGGTCGACGTTCCATCTGTGCTGCCAACCGCTGATTACGTCGAGATGCTTGTGCCTGCTGGCGTCTCTCCTCTATTCCTGGGGCACCTTGACCCTGGCCCATTGGCTTCTCCTGTCGCAGCACCGTGAATCTGCAGTGGGACCAGTCTGGCGGTCATTCTCAAGTCAAGAGACCACCCACGGCTGAGCTTATCTTCTTCTGCCAGACTTGCTCTTGGGTTTTCTTCTGATCCCTTTTAGTATGGAACAGTGCCATCATCCCCCCAATATACACTGCTTGGGCCCACAGTGTCACTCCCTCTTGGGGAGCCCCCATACAACACAAACCCAGCCACAGGTGCCACATTATCAACAAGTAAACAACTAGTGTACAAAATAATACCCATAAAGCAACTTTTTTATCTTGTGCAGAAGTTACCAACAGGATGTGCATGTACTTTCTTGGTGACAGGAGAGAAATATTTTCAGGTAACCGAATCCTTTTTTTTTAATTGGTTGATATTGAAGCCCTTTCTTAGGTGTCCTGTTTCACCATGGCACTCTGCCAATTCCCATCCACCAGCCTCCTTGTATAGGCACTACAATTCTTCATTAACTTGGTAAGACAAGATGCCATATGTATCAGATGAGCTTGAAACTTGAATGGCTTTTCCTTCTGAAAAAGAATCTACCCCAGGCTATACAATTAAATTTTCTGACGAGAAATACTTCCAATGTTACAAAATCTGAATCTCCTTATAACTTTAATGTGGACCTAGCCTGTTTTGGTGTACATCACCAATATGAAAAACCTATGATGACTGATGAGCTACCACAATTACTATTATTTCCTAATAATATTCAGTAATTATACACAAGCATATCTTTCAGTACTATGAAGAGTAAACAAACTCAATTATCATAGTGAATACTACTGTACATAACTAATATGAAATGCCAAGAAAAATATTTCCAACTTTCAATTACATTCCAGTGTTATGTACTGTAAGCTGTCTCAAGAACCTGTAAAACATGTAAAAGACTCAGAAATCTATCAGCACTGAGGTTTAATTTATTCAAATATAAATTGGTAACATGCGGCCAAGAAAGATTCCCCCGCTCCTCTTCAACATTCTTCATGGCCTTCTGTGTGATACATGACCCACATGTTTTTTTTTATCTGGGGAGTATTATCATCTTAGTACAACACACCATATCATGTCAACCATATACTAGTATGGTACAGTATATATTTAATTTTTTTTAGCTATGCTGAATTTAAATTTATTTTTCATCCAGGTTGTTCCACTTATATCCAACACACTATTAGTGGCTATATTTCAACAAAATACTTGTACATTCAAATAATTATTTTCCGTCTTACTGGTGAAGCACTAAGGATCTGAACTATGAAACGTTATGATGTGCCAACACAGAATCCTGTTGAACTTTATATTAAATATGTCTGTTGTTAAAAGTCAAAGAACAGTTGCCCCCATGCTGTAACACAATTTTCTCCTCCATTAAAATATTTTATGAAGAAGGTAGTGTGTGTGTGTCCACCTAAATGTGACACATCGTACAATAAGAACACAAGTGACAATCACTGCCATAGCTGCAGCACTTGACCGAAGTCCATCTGTCGGCTTCAGCAGAAAATAGTGTTGGTCTTGGGCATATACAATACATACTGTAGTGTACTCCACAAAAATTGCTTCAAACATAGGTTGGATGCTCATATGAGCAATAGGGGTTGGGTGTAAACGGGACTGCCCAGTATGGGCCAATAGGCCCGCTGCAGTTTCCTCCATTCTTATGTTCTATGGCTACACAAAATCAGTGTTGGCACAGCGTAATGTTCTATGGTTCAAATCTTCAGGGTTTCACTTGGAACACGGAAAATAATTATTTAAATACTGTATACAGTACAAATATTTCTTAGAAATTTATACACTAAAAATGTGTCACATACAAATGGGACAGCCTGTATTATTACATGGCCAGAACTTACCACCCGCTACCATATTTATCACCAGTGTATATGGTAATGTACAGTATTTAAATACACAAAATATCATGTTTACCCCTTAAAAATAACTGTCAATACAAGCATAATGAAATGCATTTTACTTATTTTCCTTCTAAAGCGGGGTTGCATCTTTAACAGCAACGTGTCTAATATTCCACAAATTCATTCAATATTTACAACTTGTATTTTTACCTATTGGCAATCTGAAATGGATAGAACAAGCAATAATGACTGTAACAAAGGATGGAAATATAAACCAGAAAATGTTGAATGTCTGGAAAAAGCAGATGAACAAAAGACCAGAAAACTGCCCAAAATCACACAATGATTACAAAGTTCAGAGTTTTTATGCTTATGGAATCTCAATTGCATTCTGATCCTGTAGAGAAAAGCACCAGTTGTGACATGGATCAGCAGTACACTAACAATGGTCCACAATGAAGTTACCAAAGTTCAAGCTGAAGAATAACAAGTTGGATTACAGGAATTTGACAATGGTCTTGGTTTATGGCCCAATAAGTGAGGTGAAAATATGCATAGCTTCTGGATAGATAGGGGAGCTCAGAATGTTAATAGCTGAATTGAATCTTTCTTAAATATCGTGATATCCTCTGTATCTGTATCTCTGCATGCTTGTCACAAGCTGTACCGGAGAGCACTCCTTTTCAAATCAAAGCTACTGAAGAATTATCTTTGTAGTGTGATGGGACAGGACAGATTGTGCTCATAAACACTTCTCAAGTGCAGAACATGACAATTACTTTGGGTCTCGTTAAAGACTTAAAAAAAAATTGCAAATGCGAATTTTGTAATCTGTAATCCCAAATGTTTCTGTATTTTTTTAAAGATACAAATAGAGTAAGATTTTCATGAGTTAAAGTACTGTATGTGAAACATGTGACTTTTATTTAAAAAATTAAGAAAAGTACTTTTTGTTTTGAGTAAAAAAATTTATGCATTTCATAATTATTTTAGTTTTTGACTCCTGTGATGTGAAGAGTATTGCCAACTGCTAGTTGGAAGATGCAACCCCAAAAACCATACAACACAATACATTGTATATGGCCCCAAAATCCCATCCGACCCTGGCCTGCACACTCAAAATGCGCACCTGATTTCAGCCATAATTGTCCCCCAATGGATGTAAATATGCCTAGCATAGAAGTATAACTACTGTATGTATACAGTACTGTACTATTATTTTCCAATACACTGTGTAAAGAAATTGGCATAATGGGAACTCTTTTTTTTTCTTCAGAAAAATTAGCAAAACCTCAAGATCAACTTATAAAAGAGGGGTAGGGCCAGGTTAGCAAAATTGGGAGATAAATTGTTTCATTCCTAGACCCTATTCTCAAGTCAAAACTGTTAATTTCATAGGTTTGTGAAGTTAAAACACAACCCTGCCCATACAAAACAATACTGTACTATCCCATACATAACACATACTGTAAATACTGAAAATAAAGTGATGTCAAATAATACAGAAAATGTAAAAAAATAAATGAAATTTCAGTTACAGATTTCATGTGATGAATATACAGTAATCCCATGTTTTTCGCTTTCTTTGATCGCGGTTTTGACCATTTGCATTTTTTACTGAAAAATATATATATATATATATATATATATATATATATATATATATATATATATATATATATATATATATATATATATATATATATATATATATATATATATATATATATATATATATATATATACAGGATTACTGTATTGTGATCCTGTTTGTAAGTACAGGGTATGGGAATTCATAACTCGGCGACTGGCTGTAAAAACAACTTCTAATCATTGATGTACAGACATACCAATTGCAATGCAGTATCCCCATGACAGAGTTTAGGCTCTAGGGTAGTGCTCTACCCACAATAGTGTGGAAGAAGTTTTTGGGGTATGGCATTGAGACCAAGTAACACAAGGGTGACTATCTGGAGTGAGGATGGTTGGTGTGACATTGTTTACTGCAGCATTTATGCTTGACAGGAGTTATAAACACAAAATCAAACATCTGTGCCTAAACGTTATGGGCGGCCCCTCATATTAAATAGGACTGGAGTTGTATTACGCGTGGTAATGACTTAGTGCTCATAGCAGATTAGAGTAATGAAAAGACAGTGCCACAGTGGAGAAATTTAAGAAATGGAAGGATGGAATAGTCAAATGGCCTGTGAGTAAATGTGATGAAAACAAAAGTATTGATTAGTGGCGTGAGTGATACAGTATGCTCTCTTTTTAACGGAATACGAGATAAAGAACTTTCGATTTAGCCAAATGCATTTTTCCACTGTATTTCGTCAAATTTAGTGAACTAGTTCGATAAATCGAGATTAATTCCGTTAATACGCTCACACCTACGGAGACACCTCAGACACATGATACAGTAAAGCCTACTTCAGCCTACAGCAAATGTACCAAATGTATAAAAACGATAAATGATGTTATAAAAAACTGTTACCAGTTACATACGTACATACTTTTTACATTTACTCTTGAATTAAGCATTCATAAAACAAGCTATGAATATAATGTGTATGTGTGTGTGTGTGTGTGTAGATCCAATCTGGCCTAAGGTTAAAAATGATTTGAAAGCATTCGAGGTGGATGTAGTACAGTACTGATGATTAGTGGGTCTCATGTTTTTGACCAGACCTGACCTCTTGTTATGTCACCCATTTTTTATAAGCTCTTTCGTTTGCAGTGGATGTGGTGTGTGGATTAGTGGATCCCATGTTACTGACCTGACCTGATGTGTTATGTAAGGTCACCCATTGTATATAAGCCTCTCTCAGTCACTAAATTCAGTTGCCCCTGAAGATGTCTTGACTAAAGAAGAAAGCTAAGGTGCTCCAGTGTAGTTAGTTGACCAAGAGATAGCAGTGGACAACACACGCGGTGGTGGCAGGACACAGACTGAGTGGTTGTAAACAAACCTGACACGTCGCGCAGAATTTAACGGAATTACACTCGATTCAGCAGAAATTTTGATTTAATGAACAAGGGTGGCTCAAATTCGTTCGCAAAATCGAGAAAATACTGTACTCTCTTGTTCAGCTGAATATAACAATATCTAAAATAATTTGAATACACTGTATTAAAATGTTTTATTTTTACATTAACATTTCAGAACCCACAAAGAGCATTTAATGCATGGCAGATGATTCTTCCAGTTCAATCAATCTCTAACAATCATGAAAACTTTATATCTCTTAACAACACTAATCAGTACTAAAAAATTATTCCCCACTGTTTTGCAGTTATTCCCTATAGATTTCAGACTTATGATTTCAATTTTGAATTGGCAATACCCTTGACCGATTAACAAATCAGATTCTGGACAAGCACCTATTTTAAATAATGACATTTGTATTCCAACCAGGTACACCCTATTCCACTCAGGCATCCAATTTCACAGACATGCTTCCAAATACAGATTATTACCCCTTTGATATATATATATATATATATATATATATATATATATATATATATATATATATATATATATATATATATATATATATATATATATATATATATATATATATATATATATATATATATATATATATATATATATATATATATATATATATATATATATATATATATATATATATATATATATATATATATATATATATATATATATATATATATAGAAAAATAAATGGAATTACCTTAGCTTTCAATCTTATTCAGGAATCTTCCAGAGAAAAAGGCTGAAAAAATATATCATTTTCATTGGATTTACATGAAATATATATATATATATATATATATATATATATATATATATATATATATATATATATATATATATATATATATATATATATATATATATATATATTATATATATATAAGAAGCATCTCAATTTCAGACTACTGACTACTGTATTAACCCCTTATTCAGGTCAATATACAGTATAGTGGAGCCATCACTTCAGAATATCATCAACATGGTCATTTTCCTGGCATAAGGCTTACTTTTAAGATCTTCACTGCATCTGCAAAACAAACCAAGTTAACCCTTTGTAGGGCAGAGGCTTTAACCAGAATATTACTGTAGGGCATACTGAAGTGCACCGCTGCCCTACAAAGGGTTAAATTCAGGTTTAAAAAAACACACACACACACTTTTCTGGACATGTCATCCATAAAAAAAAACTTTTTGTAAATTCAAGATATGATAATTGACTACCAAATTTTTATAAACAATAAGAATGTGTTACTTAATAAATCTTGAATCATTCCTCTTGCCTTTGCCACTTGCTTCTGAAGAGAAGCCAATCTCCATCTATGTAGGTCCCGGTGGTTCTGGTATTTTGTAGCCATTATTCAAACCTTCAGTGTTAGGTCTGTTTCTTTATTGGTCAGATACAAATACCATTTAATTCGTGAAGCTCAATCAAAAGACTTTCAAATAGCTATCCATTGAGCTTGTATCAAATCTGGTAGTCTGTGATCCTTAAAGGGCTTCAATGTGTACACAACCATCAGGTACTGCATCTTTGATGGTACCTAGTTATTGTACCTAGCCAACCCAACACACAATAGTTCAATGGGTATCCAGCATGTCTGAATACACTCCACCAGCTCCCTGGCAGAGCTCTAATGGTGGACGGTGTTAACTCCCCTTCCTGGGTGTCTTGCGCCTCCACGCACACCCAGGAGAGCACGAGATAGTGAGTTCACTCTAACTCTTGAGAGTCCTGCACCAGTATCACTGCTTGTGTGTGTGTGTGTGTCTAGGGACTCATCCCACTTTGCAATTAAGTACTTTTTGGGTTCCTTAAAATTTCCATCATATAGCTTTCCCATTTGGTCCAAATCTAAATTTGAATTCAGTATGGGATACATCTGATGTGCACAACTTTTCAAATTTCATGGGCACTTCAAATTATGTAATGTCACCTGGTAACTTCTCTGACACCTCCATCTTGTGCAAATTATTAACATCAAAGCAATCTGTGCATTGTACATATATCAATCCTCTCCCCATTACTGTGGCTTTATGCACAATTTCAAAACTCAGGACTGTCAATATGAAAACACAATGCAAAGGGTCCTTCAGCTTTCTTTTATAAGCATGGCAAGGACCCATTGCACAAACTTTCTTACTTCCTTTTAGTAATTTGCCAGACCACACACTTTCTTTCATAAGTAGTGCAGCAAAGTTGGCCTATTAAACTACATAAAACTAAAAAAAGACAGGCCCTATAGGAAATAAAGTATGAGTAATTAGAAAGTGACTATAACAAAGCTATTTACTGGGCCATCTGCATGTTCATGAGAAACTCTCAGCCATTAGCTTTCTTTTATAAGCTGATGGACTTGCAAATTATGGGTTTGTGAGGGAAATTGGGGGAAATGGGATCCTGAAATTTACTCAAGTTGAATAGAACTGCCACTTGATTGAGGGGGGCCAACAACCAAATGCTTTAGCCACGACTCATTGCCTCACCGGTCGTTCAGGGACATCCGTGTTGTTGATTTTAGTATAATCTTGCCAACTGACATCTGTAAATACAGAAAGATTGTATTAATTAATAAGGCCTTCATTAAGTGGTCAAAGCACAGTCATGACATGAATAGATGGCTCATTCCAGGACATCAGACAACCTTAGAATTTTCTGAAACTTGGTGTGTTTCATTAATGACACCAAAAACACACAAGATCTCAAATTTTAGCTGAATCAGAATCATAGTTCAATACAGGGGGTCCCCGGGTTACGAACGGGTTCCGTTTCTGAGGCCTATAAGTCAGATTTGTACGTAAGTCGGAAAACATTCTATGTGCATACTGTACTTACAGAACAAAGTTTAAAATCCCACTGTATCATGGCCTAAGTCCTTATATACATTTTAAATCACTTAATTTAAGACAAAATAAGAAATAGAATGACAAAATACAGCAAATAAAAGTACAAAATAATACCAGGTAAATAAAATATTGTAATGTGCTGTAAATTTCAAGTTTAACCCCAATCGTATCAGCATGGCAATCGTAAGTCGGGGATCCCCCAGTTATGATCCCCTGATTTTGGGGGTGTTGCATACAGTATGTTATGCTAAATTTCAATGATTAATATCTATGTGCCTAACTGAGCTAGAAGAATAATTCTGTTACCACAAGCAGTAATGAGTAGGATGACCCATAAACAAATATTATGTTAGGCTGTAAGTCATGCCATGTTTATTGGGCGTGCCTGCCCGTATATACAGTATAGAGTAGTGAGTTGATGGAGAGACACGGAGGAGGTTGGTGCGTTGGGTGGTAGTAAGAGGGGCTTGTTTGTGTACAAACGCCTGATGCAGCAAAGTCGGCCAGCCAGGGCTGGGTATGTGAAGCCGGGCAGGGCACTGCCACTGTAGCTATCCCCATCAGAGTCAACACCTAAACTGTTTCTCTTGAGACTTTCAACACATAAGTTTAACCTGTACTTAAGTTTAAACAGGTAGACTGTGTCCATTGCATAGGTTATCATTGTAACAACATAGAAATATGGCAAATTAAGTTTGTCATTATAAGTGTTAAGATTAGACTAATAAAATAGCTATGATTGTTATGTGAATATATATACAGTATATATATATATACTGTGTGTGTATATATATATATATATATATATATATATATATATATATATATATATATATATATATATATATATATATATATATATATATATATATATATATATATATATATATATATATATATATATTGGATTAAACATTTATTTATGATTTATTTTGAAGAATAAGAATGAATTGTATTCAACAGGTTTGACCGAATTATAACGTTCGAGTTCAACGTGAAGTCTGATTAACCTTTAAACGCTCAGAAGGCGTTTACAAATTCAAAGTGAATCTTTAAGGTATTTTGACAGAATAAAAAAATGTATATCTATAAATATCACCTACAGTTAAAGGGCAAAAAGTTATGAAGATTTATAATTTGTAGGCATAATTCTACCAAACACAACTCCAGAATTAAAATTGTTATTGCTTACTTAAACATTTTTATTATAATTAATTAACAAATAAGCAGTATTGTAAATATAAAATGTCGATCTATAACTACTCTGTACAGTACACCTGGATAATTCGCGGAATTTTTTTTGCGGATGATACCCTGAATGTACCCAAGAATGTCTGCGGGTAGTTTTAAAGTTACCGGCATTTTCACGGCTGGGATAGGGAGCCATTCATTCTAGAGACAGTAATTTCCTTTACCTGTATTGTACAGTATATATATATATATATATATATATATATATATATATATATATATATATATATATATATATATATATATATATATATATATATATATATATATATATATATATATATATATATATATATATATATATATATATATATATATATATATATATATATATATATGTGTGTGTGTGTGTGTGTGTCTCGTCACATGCACATACTGTATATACAATACAGGAAAGCCTCCGATAACAACGGTTCAACTAACGACAATTCATATTTAAGACCCTGGATAATTTAGGACCCAATTCAATTTACACCATTATTTTCTTAGCATTTACGACAAAAATATAATCAAATTACAGTTCATATAAATAATAAGTAAATCGTGATATGTATTATATAAAAAAATATGCCTTGTGCATGGAGGCTGCCAGGCTTGTGAATGGTGACACCAGCATCACTAGTATAAACAGTTGCAGCTTGGCGGGCCTTTTGTTTTCACGCATGTGAACAGGAAACGGAGAAAAATATTCTCAAATTTCTTACGGCATTTTTGCATCCCTATTCAACATGAGCAAGACGGCAAGTGATAGTAGTGTTGGTTCAAAACCTAAGAGAAAGTGTATAAGCTTAGCCGAGCAACTAGATGGGTTAAAATGATATGAAAAGGGTGAGACGTCTCTGGATATTATATGGAGCAAGCAATGAACATATTTACCGAAGTGTATACATTAACAGAATGAAGCATTAAAATTATCAGGGACGTGAAAAATGCAAATGACCTCTACATAAAGATGTACAGTATAAAGAGAAAAGAAAGCAGCTGTGCAAGGTTCTATCGACAGATTTATTATTTGAAGGCCTAAACCATGAACTTCAGAGACATTATCAAATTCAGCATCATAAGCAGCTTTCTTAACAACTTCAAGTTCAGTAACAGTTTCAGCAACAGCTATGACATCTTTATGGAAAGCTACAGCTTCAGCCAGAGTTGAACCTGATTGACGAAATCTTCTGAGTAAAAACTTGCACAATATTCATTGGCTGTCCTTATATTTTAGACTTTACCACCATTTGTGAGGAGAATTTGTTATTTAAAACATATATGAACAGTAATAAGTGTTGCTTTCATGTGCTTATGTATAGAAATGACGATGTTTTCACACGATGGCGTTCCCAATCTATTTCGTTTTTCTTTTCCATTAATGTTTAGCTAATTCTATTGTTCCATTTATTAACATTAAATAACATTACTGAATACATGCATATTCATATTTTTACATTAATTTTACTACACAATCAACCAGGGTCTTATTTCTTCAGTTTCTTATGTAGAACCATCGTCATTCGTCACAGGTGTTGTAAACATGAACGAAAACAATGCCGTCTCCTCTCGTGTGTTTTAATATTCTACGTGTGATTATTGAATTGCATTGTTCATTTTGCATATGTAAATATTAATTCAATCAAATACATATTCAGTAATAAACAATAATGAATCTTTTGTACATATTCTAAATAAGATAAATGACGCAGTTTCCTCAAGGGCACACGTATACACACTGCTGTTCCACTATCACTCTTTTTATTTCTTTACCAACAGTGGTTACTTCTATTGTATATTAAACAACATTAATTTTAATCTACAAAATTTTTTACATTAATTTTACAAAAGCAACAACCAGGGTCTTAATTTCTTCAGTTTCAGATGGATAACTGACTTATGGGTGTAAACACTGACAACAACAATGGCGTCCCATCTCTTGTGTGATATTATTATTGATTTATATTGAATAAGGTGCATTCATAAACATTATTTAATGAATAAAGTTTGCATCTTTCATTAATTGTATTTTTTGGGGGGAAAAAGAGGGTAAAAAGCCACACAGACGATATGAAAAGGTCACACTAGGGAACGCTTCTCATTTGCTTTATTTTAATGGTAATTAATGATTCACGGTACGATGATTCACCTTTCACTGCAATTGTGGAGGACACATTACCGTCGTTATTCGAGGCTTTACTGTACAGTACAGGTAAAAGAAATAATTATCCTAAGGGTAAACACGTTTCTTTGCACACGAGTTAGCTAGCTCAGTGGGGCAGCGGGAGGACGGCTGGGCAGTTGGTGGTGAGGAAAGGGAATGTTGCTAGGGATTGGCGGAGGTAGCATCACTGTTGCTATGGTGAACAGCGAGTACAGATGTACAGTACAGCTCCTCCCCGACTTACGACCACCCGGACATATGACCGCCTCAGTTGTACCAAAATTTTGTCAAATTATGTATTTTCGAGTCCTGACGTCAGTGATTGCGCTGTGTACTGACAAAATTTTTGTTTGCATTTCACTTTAAAATGGCTGGCAAGCCTAAAAGTGAGAGTTTTGTGGTGCTGAGAAGAAAAAGAGACACCCATTTTAGATTTTCTATGTATTATTTAGGCATTTTCAACTTACGACCATTTCGACTGATGACCTGGATTTCGGTCCAACAAATTACCCAAAAGTATATTAAATCAGGGTAAAATCTTAACGAATATATGTTTTACATCAATAAAACCTGATTAATAATGCTTTCATTGAAATGTAGTCAAAATCATGAAATAATAAACAGCGAAAAACGCTAAATTCCAAAGAGTCACCTATCCAAAATGGAGATGTAATTACCGATGTTTCTGTTACTTTGGGGTATTTAACATAGCCGTAGGATTTACTTTTCGTTAGGTTAGGTTAGCGAAGTGCATCACGATGGATCTGAGTTATCTCCCTTGTCCACGAACTCTTTGGAATTTAGCGTTCGCCAATACTGAAAGTTTTTCGCTGTTTCTTATTTCATCTTACAAATTATTTTTACAAAATTACACTAAAAATATTATTAGACATGTTTTGTGTATGTATAACAGATATTCGTTAAGATTTTACTCTGATTTAATATACTTTTGGGTACAATTGAGTACCGTACTTTTGGGTAATTCGTTGGACCCCCTGGATTTGGGTCCCTAACCCCGTAGTAAGTCCGGGAGGAGCTGTATATGCAAATGGCAACTGTGTTAAAGTCTCATCTGGCTTTTATTTACTGGTTTGGTAATACAGCCGCCCCCCCCCCCCCAAGTGCTGAATTTTACCTCACTGTTCTCGGTTATTCGCGGATGAAACCTGGATGAACCCAAGAACGTTTGTGGGTAGTTTTAAAGTTGCAGGCACTTTCACGGCTGGGACAGGGAGCCATTCATTCTAGAGAAAGAAATTTCCTTTACCTGTATTGTAAATATGTGTGTAGACACACACAGACAAAACACATACCAATAAATAATAATTGGAAAATCCTCTCACAAATAATCAGAAACAAATTTATTAAAAATTCTCTCGTACAGTACTTTATTAATAGAGCACGGAATTGAGGGTACACTCACATTTTTTTATAAATTTGTTTCTGATTATTTGTGAGGAATTCCAATTATTATTTATTTGTAGTAATATCTCCGTTAGCCGGAACCCTTCAAACCCCCATTATTGTTGGGGGCAGGGCATTCAATTTCCGCCAAAATTGAAGGTCAGATTTGTTAAAAACACACCAAAATATACTGGAAAAACATATTGGTCAACCTCTCGGGACTCATATCCTAAAGCATAAATTTACCATTCTACCAATACTACGAATATGAACACTCGACTTGTACTTCCACGCTAACGAAGGCGTTAATGGTGATGGGTGTCACTACAAAGCATGAAATTAACTCTAAATACACTCACCCAAGCCGGAGTACCTCAACCGAAATACACTTCACATCAAGTTTCAAATGTATCTTATGATACGCAAATAATTCTCGGTAATACGAGAGCACCAAATGTATTCTGAAAATAACTGACCATCAATGGCGTCCACCCAGACCCACAGGAACGCCGACCGCCTCACACGCCCGTGTTGTCTTTTCCTTATATCAGTTATTTCTGACAATGATGTAGGATGTATATTGACAAAATATGAATCACAATTATATTTCTATAATATTTACCTTCTAATACTGAGAGAAGTGGGAGTACTAAACAAAACGAACAAGAACTTGATATACAGCACAGCGTTTTTGTAAGTTGCCAGACCACTGTTACCAACCTCACCTGGCAGCCACTGTTGCCACACACCTCCCTCCCCACTGCAGCCAACACAGTTTACATATATATATATATATATATATATATATATATATATATATATATATATATATATATATATATATATATATATATATATATATATATATATATATATATATATATATATACAAATATATATAATGTGAAAAATTGCGTCAAATCTATTTTTGTTAAATTTCAGTTTGTGATTAATTTTTTTAGCTAATCCTCAGCAAGTCAATTGTGCAAGAACTAAGAAAGCAACTTACAGAATTTACGATAAAAACATTTCACTATTATTGCGTAGACGTTATAACAAAAAAACTACTCTTTGAATATTAGAAACAACAAGTGTGTAGGTTCGTGGTGGGCAAGTTATGGGTGCAGTTTGTTTACAGTTTGTAAGTTACAAATAAAAAAGAAGGCTCCTACTTGTGTTGGTTAAGTAAATCACTATTTTTCATATGATTACGTCGTAGATTGAGGCAATTTCTCTAGAAACATAAGTAATGAATTGCGTGTTTGTACTCAACCGAAAATACGACGATGGTGGTGGAGAGGTAATGAGCATCACCTCTCACCACTTAATATTGTCATAGTTTCTCGGTAAATTATTCCATTCCAGTCCTTAAGTTCATAGTTCAGTAATAAAACAAAATACATATGTACTATTTTCTTACAGTGGGTTTATCAGCAATATGTTTAATTTACGGTAGTGACTGCACGGAACTACAGTATATTGATTATTATATACTCGGCCAGGGTAGGTAGGTTTTTAGGTCCTAGTAAATGTGACTTTTTTTTTTAATAATATAACTGATACGCAGTGGTTATTCTTACTATTTTAAAGATGACATTGGTTGATATATAAAACTAACCTGCAGACGAGTTATTTTTATTACTGTTTACTTTCTGACATTATTTTCATCAGTGAGTATTGATATGCTACTCATTTAGTGTGGACATTGTTCGTTTCATAGATAATTAGGCTCCTAGGCGCTCACTAATTTGTTTTGCGGGCGGTAATGAGGCTGCTCTCTGCTGAGGGGCTTTTCTCGCTCCCAGGGCAATTTGTTTGGTGAATTTATAGTCTTACACCGGTCTTTCTTTCGCTGTTATTAATATGTATTTTATAATGTTTAGACAATTCTAAGACATTTTTCTTCTATGATATTTCCGCCGGAAATTACGGATAACTGAGATATTAATTTTTCAATATTAATAGATTTGGTCAGTCACAAGTGTCGCCATTTGTTGTTTATGTCTTGCGGAGAAGATCTGACCCCCCCTCACGCAGTGCCAACATTGTGATAAAGATTATTTTACTTCAATTGCCGAGTTTCATCAGAAAACTAGTGAGGCAATTTCTTCTTTTTTTTTTTTGAAAAAAAAAACTGTATTTCTGAACACCATTCTTTGTCCAAGATGTGAACAGAGGGGGGTCCAAGGGGCGGAGCCCCCCTGGTTAGGTTAGGTTTTGTTGGTTGGTTGGTTGGTATTTTATTTGTGATTTACTCGGACAAACAATTTCCAACTTTTTCCGTTGATTGTTGGAGGGGGGTATCGAAAAAAACTCGTGATTTCCGGCATAAATGAGTACTGTATCAAATATGTTGGAAATCATAAAATACCATAGGAAAAACATATTTCTAATATTAAAAGAAAGACCGGTGCCAGATGTAAACAAATCATGGTGACATTTGTGACTGAGGAAATATAATAATACTGTATTGAAAACTTAATATCACGGTTATGCTTAATTTCTGGTGGAAATATCATAGAAGAAAAATGTCTTAGAATTGTCTAAATATTACAAAATACATATTAAAAACAGCGAGAGAAAGACTGGTGTAAGACTATAAATTGACCATTTGTTTTTCAGCATGTCGTGTGAAGGTTGTCGCCGATCTTTAATGGACGTAATTTGTGAATTTAGGGGTAAAGACAACAAGACCCTTCAATTGTTTAAAGATCACAGCATTGTTCCTTTACATAGAGACTGTTTATTTTCTTACATTATTTTGATCAGTGAGTTCTGATATGATAATCATTTATTGTGGAACCCGCCAACACAATAAATCACTCCGATGCCTGGGGTGTGTAATGCCAATGCGGCCGTTTCATTTCATGTCCAGAAAATGCCTCAAATTTCACCATATCATGATAAGTTCTTTCTGTTTAATATACCGGGGGGGGGGTCCGGGAGAAAGAGCCCCCCCGGTAAGGAAGTTAGGTAAGGTTAGGTAGGTTTGTTTATTTGGTTAAGTAACGTTTATTTTTTAATTATCCATTTTTTAACATATTTCCACAAACTACAACAGTGTCCACTATAATACAACAATGAAAATCATTTTTATAATTGTTTTCATTCAATTTTGCTCGCGGGTTAGTCCTATATAATTACCACGACATTTACTAGAATCTGAGCTAACCAACCAAAGAAGGTAATATCATTACAGTAAACAGCAACCACAGAATTCCAAAATTTCACTACGTACACTCAATCGATTTTTCTATGATCATTTTCTTATATATTATATTACATTGTTAAGATAGGTAACACATTGTTTTTATCAGATTCTTTGGTTGCTGTAATCTGCAATTTTACCCCAAAGAAAGTTACCTAACTTATTTACTAAAACCTGACCTAACCACCAAAGAAACCTCAACTTACCTAACTTCCTTATGCCCCCCCCCGACCCCTCACCATATTAAACAAAGTACTATACTTATTTAATATCTGATACTGATGAAAGTAACTTAGTTGAAGTGTCATGGTGTAATTTTATGTTTTTAAGGCCTGGCGTAAGAATAGCCACTGGTGTTTTCCTTATGGTTGGGGTAAGAATAGCCACTGCGAAATACTGTAGCATTTCCTTTGGAAATTTATATTGTTCGAGTTAATTTGACTGATTTCACTTCGGAAAGTACTTTACAAGTATGTGGGGATTTTCATTGTTTACAACTAGCTACAGGACGGTCGTGTATATAGCCACTTCCTTGCTTCTTACTCAGCCAATCAGCTGAAGTGTCAGTGTCAACTGATACTCATGTGCTTACTCACGTTTTCATTGGAAATTTATATTAAATTTTCTTTTTTTTTACTTTTCGATTTCAGGTAAGCTTCTTTAGGTTCCATTGTTTTTTCTTTTGTCTAGTTGGGTTACATTAGGTTTACACACTGAGTGTTCAGGAAGTTTGGTCAGGTCCATTTGGTTTCTCTGATTATGGTACTTTAGTTTAGACTTGTACTACAGTAAAAATACTGATATTTTAGAGTCATTAGGTTAAGTTCTTGATGATTTCTTTGTTTGGTGTGTTTTACTTCACAATTTACCTCTACTGCAAAGACATGCCCACTTTATATGATCAAATTGCATGTTTTTAAGTGAGATCAAAAAGAAAAAAATGAAAAATATAATTTCTGACAAAAATGATATCGAGCAGGCATAGGCTACATTATGATTTAGGCATTTTTCTGCGGGCCAACCCATCGAAATTTATATCCAACCTAACCCAAAACAGGGGCAGATCCAGGAATCTCAAAGGGGGGGTCCAAAAAGTTGTGGGTGGGGGAACATGACGAGCACAGTGAGTCCATCCAGCTGGGGGACACTGTAAGCCCCCTCAGAAAATATTTTAAATCTGACCAATATCATGGGCATTTTGAGGCCATTTTGAAACCCTGTGCACTTGATATTAAGAGATATATTCTGAGGTCACTAGTACTGGTAATTACTTTTTACTATACTGTACAAAAATGCCAGAGTACAAGACTGCATTAAAGAAAAAGTATTGGAATTTTCTGATGAAAAGGGGAAGTCCAGACCCCCCTGGAGCCACCCCTGCAAAAGTATTGTTAATATTGTATTAGCACGGAGAGTGAAACAGTTTATCGTCATGTTCTCTTTACGATATTATCAGTTTACAATCAGTCTTTTTCCCATTTATGAAGCAAATCCGTCATAATTTTTTAAGTAAAATTTTAATGTAGTATCCCCGTTAGCTGGAACAATTGGTGCAGAGCACTCCCGGGAGTGAGAGATTTCCGGGTAACAAGACGACTCTCTCAAAGCCGGAAAAAATCCCTCATCCCTGTAATTTTCCGGAAATGTGCCCCTCAGAAAATTTTTCCCAGAAAATTACATCTTTGGGAACGATTTTCCGAGAAAATTTCAATTACAGCTATCAGAGAGTCCGGGTTTGAGGGATTCCGGCTAACGGAGATATTAATGTAGTACCGGGGTATGTTGATTTTTCCTACAGTTAAAGCATTTTTCTTACTTATCAGACACAGAATAATGTCAATGTTAGTCTTGGTGCATGAGGAACTACTGTACTATGAAAGAACCTACAGGTGCATCTATTTATTTTACAGTACAGTACAACCTTAGTTAATTCCCAAGTGACCCACTACCACATAGCAGCTAATCCATCAAACAGACTGCGCCGAACTTGGCCCATAAACTCACACAAGTTAAAAAATTTATATTGTTGACTATTTATACTTATTTCACTGTTACATTCTCGTAGTTACTTACTCTTTGGTGATGAAACAGTAACGAATTGTGTGTGAAGATTATTCTTTTAATAAATATTGCTTTACTCACCACAAACTGGCTGCATCTACCCAAACCGAGGGCCACATCAAATATAATTTATCAATCACTCTGAAAGCCGCACAAAGACATGGCTCGGGATGCAGGTTGCCCATGCCTGCTAAAGAGTAAATTATGTTTTTTCTCCATCTCCTTATATAAATATCAAAATCGAGTTCCATGCATGGTCATCACTGAATAATTAACTTTAATTCTGATTGTAAATTGTTCAGTGCTATAATGACTTACTATGGTAAATTATTGCTGTAAAGGAGAAAGTGTATTTTGCTTGACCAGGTACCACAATACAGTAGTATGTCCACTACTCCTAGTACAGTACTGTACCTTATTGGTGTAGCTAATTACAGTAATCCTTACAAAGATGTTGATAGTTTTAAAAATATACTTCAATCTGTTAAATGTCTGCCACGTTTAACATATCTAATGATTGAAGGAGTTGGTGGTCCATATTATCTCATGCATCCTTACTTGTTGCAGGTTGACAATGGGATGAATAACACCTTTGCAATGATCAGAATCTCAGATATTGACCGGTTGGTGCCAATACAGTATTTTAATCATCTACAGTACAAGCATAATCAGGACACTTAGGAAGACAAAAAACTTCAACATGGAAAAGAAAATCAAAATTGATGATGCAACTATGGGTTCTAAACCTCAAGTGAAGGATCTCTTGACTCACATGGACCCAATGATATACCTGGCAGGAACTGCTGACAATACCTCAGAAATGTTATCATACCTTGCTGATATGGATCCTGCATTTCACAAATTGCAGTTGGTCAGAAGTCTGAGGAAGGGGATGCGAGAAGACCTTAGTAAGGCAATAGAGGGGCATGTTGAGGCATACCTGAAAGAGCAGAAGGGCAAGATGAGATCTGAGAATCCTGTTGATACTTTGGTGGAGAAGGTTGTATCTGAAGACAAATTCACTGATTTTGTAGATGATACAAGAAAAAGTATAGAGATGTCAGTGCAAGACATTACAAATCATTTTGATGATGAAATAGTAACAGGAATGTTTGCCAATGATGAAGATGAGCTTACTTTTAGTGTGAGCCCAAATGACTCAAATGAGTCATCCCTAAACTCTTCGTTGAATCAATCAGGGCTGTTGTTCTTACACCCAGCACAGTATTATAACATAGCAAAAAGTCTCCAGAGTAGGAAAGAAATGGAAACTTGGAATGATTCTCTAAATATTTTGCTAGCAGTAACACCTGGAGAGCCAGTGATGCAGGAATGTTGGCCTGATGTGAAGAAAGGGTTGAGGGAATGTTTATTTGAAGACTCACCAGAAATATTTGATAAATCCTTAAAGGTACACTGTAAGCTTCTTACATCTCAAGTACATAATGCAGTAAAGGAGGCATATATAAATCTTCTAGATGCATTAGCAGGCTTTTATATGTCTAAAAGGTTTCTTACTAAAATTCCATTGAGGGGAGAAAATATAAACTTGAGGTCTTGTGAGAATATCATTAGAATCATAAAGGTATTAACAGATTTCCAAAAAGAATTTCCTCTCTTGTGGATTAGGTATCCAGAAAGATTTGTTGATGATATGGTAGAAGCAACTTTTACAATTCTAGGTTTAAATCTCTCAACCAAGGATAGTAGACAAATGACAATTCTGGATATGTATGCTGTTGTTGACCCCCAAGCTTCATGGATCAGGAGGTGGGTGCATGGACAGTGGGGAAGAAGCAAGACTTTTTCTGCCATGAGAAGTAACTCAATGGTCCTCCTTCACTCTGTATCATTTTGTATCAAACACTTGGAAAGTTTGACTGAAATCTCGCATGCAGACATTGGCGATGTAATGCTTAGTTCGAGCCTTGTAGCCCATCTGAGATTCAGTCATGCCATTAACCTCATTATGGCTGTTCTGGAGTTTTCAGATGGAAGAAAACTGTTCCCAGTGAATGTTCCATCAAAAGAAGAACTGGTGACCATGCAAAGTATAATTCAAATATTCATCAGAGCAGTTAACAGTAATGTTTCTGATATAATCAACATTGAAATCAGTAGTCTATTACAAAAGTTTTGTTCAAAAGATGAAATGAAGTCGTGGATCTTATGTGATGCTGGAGTGGTGGAGTTACTCCTTCAAGAAGTGAGCAGTATCGGAAAACTGCAGGAAAAGACAAAAGAATTAAAAGGAGAGCTAGAATTAAAGATCCCATCTAGCTATATCCAGGCTGTTCTTGTTATACTAGACACCATTTTGTCAACCAACATTGGCCAGAAGTATATATTATTAGGAAGAAAGAGGAAATCCAGCTCCAGATCTGGCTTATCTGCAGTTACTAGTAGTCCAGCATATGAAGTAATGAACATAGTCTACCTGCTCTTGAGGAGCAAGCAGGCAAGTTCAGATTTAAAAAGACTCACCATTAGTGTTTGCTGCAGCTTGCTTGCCTCACCAATAGGTATACATATGTGTGTTGAACATCCTCTTATAGAGAGTGTAATTGAACATCTAAAGGACAAAAACAAATCGGTTACAATGCAAAAAATTCCACAAGGAGATGCTCCACGAACAAGTGAACCACTACATCTGAGTGTTCCTCAGTCACTCCCTCTCTTGGCAACACTACTACTCTCATATAAGGGAGTCTTTCTGCTGGAGAGTGAAGGAGTCTTACCTCTGGCAATCATGCAGGTTCTGCCAGAAATGGCCAGGAAGGGTGACCTGAATGCAAGAATTCTTGCAAGTATTTGCAGCTCACCTCAAGGTATATAAAGAATATGCTATTGAAGTTTTGTGTGTAAACAGTTGTAATTTTGTTTTTATATACCTCAGCTTGTCTCCTGTCCCTGGTGGTAGATGTCATACTCAAACACTGTACTGTATCTATTATGCACAGTAAAATTTCTTTATTATTTTATTTTAAGCTTAATATGAATGGATACGTTATTGTGTACTTTTGTATAGAGTTTAGTATTGAAAATTGATTGATTAAAAATGAACATTCAACTCTACAGGTTGTTTAGTTGTGGGCAGTTTAAAGGTTATTCAGCCATTCTGGGATATTCTTTGCCATGTGGTGAATGGAGAGGACCTGGTGCAACAACCTCTTTCAGAAGAAGAGAGAGAAGAGGCTATAGAGGCTGCACTGGCACCACTCATGTCATTAACAGCAACATATCAAGGTAATGGACAGGCAATATTCTGACACAGGACTTCTGTTCAGTTTCCATATTTATTAATTCAACTCTATATTTTTCGTGTTTTCTATTGGTGATCAAATATTTATTGTCGAGATTTGGAAGCAATTAGAGTTGATTATATAAAGATAGATAATTTGTTTTTACTTTTATGTGTTCAGCGAGGGGATGAATCATAAGAACTATTGAGTGTTGTCTTATAATCCCATATACAGTGGTCCCTCGGTTAACGAACGGTTTGATTAACGAAATTTCGGTCAACGAATTAGCTCCCATAAGGATCTTCAATTCGGTTAACGAACAAAACTTTGATTAACAAAATCCTTACGACAAACACGTTTTGTTGTGAGCATCAGCTGATCGGCCACTCCGCTAATACAGTAATTGGTTCTATGTTTACATTCGTTTCCAGTGGAGTAAATATCAGGAAAGTTGTGCTCTTGAATATTTCTGCATTTTTTATATTAAAATTATTGGTCATTCTGAAATTTAGTTAACATATTGATAATATATACAGTACTGGGAGCAGTTTTTGTGTGCCAATCAGCTGATTGAATCACCCAACAACGCTTCTCAGTTTAACTTCGTTTACAGTGTAGTGAACGTCAAGTTTGTTGGTCTCTTGAATATTTTTGCATTTTTACATTAAAATTATTGGTCATTCTGAAATTTAGTTAACATATTGATATTATACAGTGCAGAAATTATTATGAAACACGAAGGCATTAGAACCAATGCACTCTTTAAAGAATATGGCATGTCATCATCGGCTGCCTCTACAATCAGCTGTTTGATATGTAAACAAAGCTGCCGGGAATACGACATACACACCTCAAAGTAAGTTAAAATACAGTATTCTATTGTTTTTTATTTATTATTGTACAGTACAGTACTGTACAGTACAGTACTGTAGATAGTTTATATTTAATGTTTTGTTAATTCTGTTACCGGTATACAGTACAGTACTTTGTATGTACCTTTTCTGTGAGTTGGAACCAATTACTCAATATCCCATTGAAATAATAGATTCGGTTAACGAACAACTCTGTGAAACCAATTGTGTTCGTTAATTGAGGGACCACTGTACTGAAAATATAATCACGATACAGGGGGCTTCCCAAGTTTGCGGATTTTTTCTTCGCTGTTCTCGGTTATTTGCGGATTTACCCAATAATGTCTGTGGGTAGTTTTAAAGATGCCGGCATTTTCGCGGCTGGGACTGGGATCCATTCGTTCTAGCAACAGTAATTTCCTTTACTTGTACTATTGTAAATATATGTGTGTGTGTGCTACACACACACACATACACACAAAATGCATACAAATAAATGATGATGGGAAAATACTCTCACAAATAATCAGAAACAAAATTATTAAAAATGTGACAGTTTGCCCTCAAGTCCGTGCTCTATTATAGTACAGTACTTTATTAATAGAGCACGGACCTGAGGGTAAACTGTCACTTTTTTAATAAATTTGTTTCTGATTATTTGTGAGAGTATTTTCCAATTATTATTTATTTGTACAGTCAACCCTCGCTTTACGCGGTCCCACTTTACGCGTTTCCACGTTTACGCGGTACCCTGCCAAAACCGGAATGCTCACTTTCCGCAGTGTGTGTACCCTTTTACGCGGAGAGCGGCGCGAGCAGGGTGCGCACAAGGTCGCCCAGTCATCAAAACATTACCGAGTTCTTCACCCGCCACCCACCACAGCCGGCCCAAGTCAGTGATAGTGATAATGATAGTGAGGATATGGACTTATATGGACTTTGAGGGGTTTGACAAAGAGGCCCTGCAAGCCTCTGTGGTGGATAGTGATACAATTGATACAAGTGATACAGGTGAGGGCCAATAATCTGCCCTCTGCCTCGGAACCAACCCCCCATCCCCGTGTGCCCAGCCATCTTTTCTACTAACATAAGTGTTAAAAAACCTAATATTATTGATATTTCTCTTAATTATTAATTGTGTGTGCATACCATCATAAAATTAAGAAGTTATTTTTACTACAATGTAGGTATTGTGTCTGAAAAAGTGGAGTTTGGGGGTCGGCCTGGTCTCTATTTCAATTAATCCCATATGTTATGTTGTTCACTTTACGCGTTCCTCACTTTACGCGGGCCGCCGTGGGTTGAATTAACCGCGTAAAGTGAGGGTTCACCGTATGTGTTTTGTGTGTGTGTGTGTGTGTAGCACACACACACACACACATATACAATGATACAGGTAAAATAAATAACTGTCCTAAGGGCAAACATATAAAGGGAATATACATTTAATGTACATAAGTAAAAATGTAACCCCCCGTCCCCAAATGTTATTCGCTGAATTGGCGATTTGCGGCCATTATGAGAACCTAACCCCCGCGAATTTGGGGGGCCTCCTATACTGGAATACAGTTATATCTCCAATAGCCATAACAATTGGTGCAGAGCACTTCTGGGAATGAGAGATTTCTGAGTAACGAGACGACTCTGTCAAAGCCAGAAAAAAATCCCACATCCACGAATTTTCTGGAAAACGGGAACATTTTCTCAGAAATTTCGGAAATTGCATATTACATCAGCTCTCAAACCCGGAAAGAAATCCCCCCATCCTCAGAATTTTCTCTGAATTTACCAGAATGATGAATTATTTCATCTTTCAACGCTGGAAAAAAATATCCCGGAATTTTCTGGGTACCGGAAAAATTTTCTCTGAATTTCTGGAAATTGTCCCTGACTTTCATCTCTCAAACCTGGAATAAAAATTCCCATCCCCAGAATTTTCCGGGTACTGGGAAATTTTTCTTAGAATTTTCCAGAAAATGTGCCCCTCGGAAAAGTGTTCCCAAAGCCGTAATTCTCTGGAAAATTACGGCTTTGGAATTGATTTTCCGAGAAAATTTCAGTTCCAGCTATCGGAGAATTCTGTTGAAGAGGGATTCCAGCTAACTGAGATATATATTACCCCCTACTGTTAGATAGGGTGGAATGAAAGGCATTTCGTCTTATTCACTCTCTCTTTTACAGGTACTTTAACGGGTAATGTTCGGTGGATTTGGCATCCTGTGTACCGTCGATAAGGCCGTGGGCTCTTAACACACGTCTTGCCCGCGGTGCCCACCATTTCTCTGTGGATGTCGGTCACACTAGAATAACCCGTTATAGTACCTCCTTCTTTCCTCACACAGCCAAACTGTGGAATGCTCTGCCTTCTTCTGTGTTTCCATACTCATACAATCTGTCTCACATTAAAAAGCTGGTTTTCCGGATCTTCGTGGTGTAGATTAACACAGTATAAAACTTTTTCTTCTCTATTTTCAATTTCTTTCCGTTCTTATTTTTTCGCCCCCCGGGCCCCATTGTGGGTCATTTGGCCTGTGCCCGAGTGGGCTAATTCCCATAAAAAAAAAAATAAATAAATAACACGAGATATGTTCCAAGAGAGGTCGCTTTAAACTGAATTTGCACTAAATTGAAGTGTCGTTTCAATGGAATAATTTAGTTTGGTACTTGAGAGAAACACAAAATACTAAAAAGACTGAGAGTCTACCCAGATGTACCTCGGCCCATCTCCTAGAATAAACAAAACATTGTTTTTTGTAGTATTATGTTAAAACAAACACTCATAAATCAACACAGCTAAAATTAAGGGACGTGAAATGGTTTGTTTACTCGCGATCAGCTGATGGGAAGATGGGGGGGGAGAGGTGAAGTAATATGTTTGACAGTTGATGCCAAGGCCTAGTGCTTATTTATTTATCTGTCCTTAAGAGTGACTAAGTTTTTCACTTATAAAATGTCACTGAACTGACAAGTTCTAATTAATTTTATTACAAAGGGCGAAAAAATTTATCTCTTGTGCAAAATATATGACGTTTATATTCAAATTATTCGCTGTCTTGCAAGGATTCTTGCAATGCAAATGATATTCTCCTAACTTTAGTCTGGTATTATATAAGATATAAACTTAAAGCCTAAAACCACCAAACCCTGGCTGGGAAGATGGGGGAGAGGGAGGGAGGGAGGAAGGGGAGGTGACATGTTTGACAGTTGTGCCGAAGGTCTAGTGAAGTATTTATTTGTTTATTTATGTCCTTTAGATTGAGGTTTTGTTTTTTGTTTATAAAATGTCACAGAAGTGACCAAGGAGAATATACAGCTGCTCCTCGACTTAACGACGTGGTTAGGGACCCAAATCCAGGTCGTAAGTAGAAAATCTGAAGATAATACTGTACATAGAAAATCTAAAATGGGTGTCTCTTTTTCTTCTCAGCACCACAAAACTCTCACATTTAAGCATGCCAGCCATTTTAAAGGGAATTACAAGCAAAAAATGTTTCAGTACAGTACACAGCGCAATCACTAACGTCGGGACTCGAAAATACGTAATTTGGAAAAATTTTGGTACGACTGGGGCGGTTGTATGTCCGGGTGGTCGTAAGTCGAGTAGACCGTAAGTCGAGGAGTAGCTGTAATTTACATTGCTGGAATTCTTATAAGATAGTGATTAATTTGAATATAATCATGCTATAGTTTGCACTAGACAAAATTTTAGTACCCGTAATCATTTCATACATTATTTTGAGTACTTGTACAGCACAGCTTTGCCCTTAGGACAGTGTAGTGTGCCCAGAGAAACATTAGGTGCCAATTTTAAAATATGATGCACCAGATTGACTCACTCAAAATAGGAAAGATTCCCTTTAAATTAAAACATTGTCCTTAATTGTGGGTGTCGCTTTAAATCAATAATCTTAATTTGAATCACTTTAAATCGACGTTCTACTGTTTTATCTTCAGTGTAGCCCTTCTTTAAAACAACACCATCATCTGTAATCTTTTGTTCCATCCATGTCCAAACTGGTCAACTTTATAGTATCATCTTTCATTTTATCAAGCAATAGATTTACTGTTATGACCATAAAATTTAGTTCATGCCTCTGTACACAGGCACACAACTTGTCTTCAGTGAACAGGGTTTGCTGAAACCTATATCTGAGCCACTCTACTGTACCAGTGAACTGATGACAGAGATGCACACCACGGCTCTAAGACTTCTTGGGTCTGCTACATCTGTCCTTGATTCAGTGGCTTTTCTCCAAGCCTCCTTTGGGTACCAGGTGATGTCTTATAATTTCTAAAACAATTGTTCCTATTTAAAAAAAATTATCATTTATTAACTCTCAAACTTGTGCTTGTTAGTGAAATATATTGTTACTCTTAAAGTGTTCCACATAATTGTGCCTGAAGAACCCTTTTTAAAATAATAAGTTTATTAATTCTCTCCATACGTATACAGTATACTGCACTGTATTTCTAAAATCTAAAAGCAGTGGACAAATTATAATTTGTAGAAAAGTCTCAGCATATTTACTTGTAACAATGCAATGAAAAAGAAAGTTGGATATGATACCCTTTACTGTATTGATGAAATATTGTGTACTTTATGTAATATTTTAGGAGCAACTACTTACTCAACAACACCACATGAGGTTCGGGGAAGGAGACTCAGTCATTGTGGATGAAAACTCAATTCTTCGCAATCACATATTGGTGAAGTCATACTTGGTGGGAGGCAATGGTGAGAGATGGCTCCCTCCTCTTGTTGTTGAAGATGTTTCTGCATCAATTATGGTAAGTTTTTCTTGTAACCTTGTACAGTACTTGCTTGGACAGTTCATACATGCAGTAAAGGGTGAAAGTTGTATTACCTGTAGAGTATTGTGTATTAGCCTATAATTCCTGGCATTATTCATAGTCTTTATTGGTTCATCAGAGCGTGTGAAAATTTTAATTTCAGAAAATGGAAATTGAAGTTTTACTGCATTTAGTTACTCTACTGATTACACATACTGTAGATTCTTTGAATGATGGTATACTATACAGCAGTAGACCCCAACCTTTTGTAGGCTCTGGGCCACATTTGTCATTGTAAATACATATAGTGGAGGGCTCCAGAACTTTGGATCTTAATTCAAGAAAAAAATCATATACAGTACAGTACAGTTATTAGCAGTTTTACACAAGTCTAACTGTTACCGGTTACATACTACCTGTATTGCATTTTATCTTGGATCATGGGTTTTTAAAATGATATATACGGCAGCTCTCTCTCTCTCTCTCTCTCTCTCTAAATATAAAGTCATATCAAGTTATAGATTTTCATTATTTTCACTGACAAAGAATTCCAAATATTTCACAATTTTCTAATAAACCCTTGTTGGCTCCAAAATACTTTTATTTATTTATTTATTTAATTATTTTAATTTTTTTACGGGGAATAGCCCACCCTAGGGGGGCGGTAAAATAAGAGTAAAAAGAAATTAAAAATTGAAAAGAAAAAGTTTACATTAATCTACACCACGAAGATGCCGGAAAACCAGCTTTTTGAAGTGAGACAGATTGTATGAGTATGGAAACACAGGAGGCAAGGAGGCAGAGCATTCCACAGTTTGGCTGTGTAAGGAAAGAAGGCTGTACTATAACGGGTTATTCTAGTGTGACTGACAGTCACACAGAAGCGGTGGTCACCGCAGGCAAAACGATTGTTACGAACCCGCGGTCTTGCCGGCGGTACACAGGATGCCAAATCCTGTGTTGGGGTTGGGGACCACTGCTGTACAGTATATAAATTCTCTCGTTAACTTTTCAACATTAATTTTCTGAATGTTAGTTTTGTGTGTACAGCCTCCTCTTTTTAGCCAATACCCACCTCCAAGAGAGTATAAGCCTGAGAAGCCCATCCGGTCGATGCATAAGAAACAGAATGAGGTTTGGAGGTTCCTCACAGATACCCGCCATGGTCTTCATGATATAGGTTGGCTCAATCACTGTCGCAAGGCTGTTCGTGCAGTTCTCTCATCTGGAGAAGACATCAAGGTAAGCTGGTTCATATCCACCATACATAATCTTACCATCAAAATTTTTTTATGAGTGTTCTGAACGTTGCCACTGAGTCTTGAGTATGTGAACAAGTTTTGATGATCAGATCATGGAAGATCCTTCAATTTTGATTACTTTCCTGTGAAGGATGGAGAAGATGGACATGTTATATTGATAACTGCTAATGTAGCCATTGTTACAGAATTTATACTTGGGGAAAAAATCTTTACTTATGTACAGTATTTTGAAAAAAAAAAATCTTTACAGAATTATTTTATCACCATAGTATTTACTGTATTCACATAATACAGGTACACCACCGATTTTCCAACACCCTTAGTTCCAAAGCCTTGCCGGATTATCCGTTTTGCTGACCAACCGAGGTCAGGTATAATAATTCAACAATACACTTAAATGTACTGTACTACACTAGACTAAAAAATTTATATCTTGTGCAAACTATGTGATGTTTATACTCAAATTAATCACTATCTTACAAGGATTCCACAATGCAATTTATTTTCTGCTAAGTCTAGTCTGTGACATTTTATAAGATAAAAACTTTAAGCCTAACACTACCTTCACCCCGGCTGGGAGGGAGGGAGGGAAGTTAAGTGCCCCCTCATAATTTTGTCCGGACTAAAGGAGGTGTCGTACCATCAATTCCCGGATAATCAGTGGTGTACCTGTACTGGATACCATTTACAGTATATAAAACAAGGTATTTTGTGTGGAATCTTTCTTATTTTTGTAGTAAGTTATCACATTTTCTCCACATGATCAGAGTACATACTACAAAATATCCCTCCCATCTCACTGTATTTCTCCTCCCACACACTGTATTTACACCTCCCCTACCTCCTTACTCTGTTTTTAATGGTCTTTTATTATTAAAGTAACCATGGCCACATGTTTTCAGCTTTATCTCTTGATGATTCAGCCCTTATTAATTCATGCTATATGGTTTACTGTTCTTTATTACAGGAGGCCTTCAGTATATTTTTTGGTGTTAAGACTGGTACTTCTTTAAGTTTTATTATGAAGGTAAATATCGTTTAATTTTTTTTACCTTGCATGCCCTTAGAGCTGGCTGGTCATGGACATTGTGGACCGTGCTGTTCGGGCTCTTTCATCCTCCACTGAAGAGTTACTGCCTGGCTCCTCCATGTCCCATCCCACCACCTCAGCAGCTTCCACCCCTACTTCCCCTCCAGCTGCCTCCTCCACCACTACATTTAACTTAGTCCCAGGATCAACCCTCTCACCTACATCTTCACCACTTGATCACAATGAGGAAGGTTCAGAATCACAATCACTTTCAGAACCTCAGCAGGCTGCAGTAGATCTAGTGTTGAGGTTAGTTATGTTTAAAACATTATCAACTATTGTTGGTCTACCACCTCTTTCAAGACATTTCCCTATGAAGGAAAATCTTGACCCAAAATATCAATAATTTCTATGACAAGACCAAGTTTACACTAAACATATGATGAAGACTTTCAATGTAGGTGTTCATATCTTAGGCACCACAGTTACCAGATGATTCTACTGCCCCCCCCCCCCCTTCCCCGAAAAAAAAATGGAAGGGGAAGAGATTTTCCTCAAAGGCGATGATGTATTCACAGATTTTTTTTCTGTATCCACAATAAAAGGTTTGTTTTATTTAGAAATTTTAATATAAGCAATGATTTTCAGCTAATAAAGAAAGTACAAAGCTTATGGTAGCAAGTTTGGTTGTTTCTACAATCGTGTCTAATTGGGTACAGTATTGTACTGCCTTAACCAAATTACAACAGGTAGGGGTATGGGAAGTATCATGCTCACAAGTGTAAGCCTAATGCGACACATACAAAATTGCCAAAATAATGAAGAAAAAATGCAGTAACAGAAAAAGTAAAATAATTTCCAATAAGACTAAAGAAAACCATTAATGGGGATCAATTTTGACTTACCTAATCAATAACCCCATAGCCTGGCTGTCTTATGTACCCTATTGATAACTTCACTTTTGTTTAACGGTCTCGCACAACTTGACGCATACAGGCAGCAATGATAATTTCGTCGAGTTGGTACTGATGCCCCAAAGCATCATTCAGGAAAAAAAATATCAAAATTTTTTTGGTAATTACAATTGACGCCTCAGATTTTGGCACTTCATTCTGGTAGGCCTCCTCTCTTGTGGTAATAGATTACTAATTGATTACCTGGCAACAGTCCATAGCACGTTGACCATGAGACATCAGTGTTGTCCCGACAGTGAAGCTAGAAAGCTGAGTGAGTGAACCCTTTAAATTTTATTTTGATATCCACCCAACACACTTGTGCCGTGCACTGTATAGTAATATTAGCCTTTAAAGTGTTTAGAGGTATTTACTAAGTATTCAGTTATTTACTTTTGACAATATTTTACTTACAGTATTCAAATTTGTAACCATCATGTGTATAAAATGTGCCATAATGCCCTTCTGTAGATACAATAAATGCCTGAACTATCCGTAAAAATTATGAAAAGTGTTGTGAAATGTTTTATAAATGTCTATATGAGTGTTTATAATGTGTTCTCAGTTTATTATACGATATTTTATTTGTTTATGTGTGAACTGCATAATGAATTCCCTTTTGTGGATATAATACACTTTTGAGCATCTACCATCACACTTCAAGGTAAGATTATTTGAAAATATAGTTTTATAAGATCTGTGTAATATTACAACAAGGTATAATGTATACCTGTAGTGTGTTTCAATCCAGTATGTATAGCAGAACAGTACACAACGTGGGGATGGCATTGTTTTTCTCTAAAATTGCTCACAGTAAAACCATAATGCTAGCAAAGTTCTAAAACCACCTTAACATACCTAGACACTTGTACATGTGCTAACCAATGGATTAATAAAATAAAGAAAAATATGTGAAAATGATGGTGGAAACTAAAAAGAGAGTGAAAATTTGCAGGATTTTTTTTAGATACTGTAGAGGTATTCCAGGTTTTTCAGTTGATAAATCTTTTTATTACTCATATTGATTTTTTTATTTCATAAATAGAAAGTGTAAAAATTTCCATTTTTGTTGTTATTCTTCTTCTTATCTAACACTTATTGTCCTTACTTGGTTATTTGTTGGTTAAAATACAAGTTGATTGGTTTGAAAACTTTTATACTTGACATCACATCGTCAAAATTAATTATTCTTTTTTCATGTTTTATGTGAAAGAGCAATGAATTGTACATTGAAATGATATTTCCCAACCCTTTATGGTTTGTTATGTAAATAAACATTGCGGCAGCCGGCGTTTGGCTGTGAATTATGAATATTTAACCGCAAAAAAAAGAGGTTATTTTAGAAGTACACGCGAATTTGTATTTTGTAAATTATTGCTGCTCCACTGTTCTTCCTTCATAATCTTACCTTAGAACAAGTTGCCTGAACCAAGGGGGCATGAACTCATAAACCTGAGTAAAATAACTAATAACTGCACATATTTTGTTCTGTGAAATGTAATACTATACTGTACAGTACTGTACTTTGCAGGTATGGCAGTCAACTTCAGGTCCTGAGTGTCAGTGGAAGTCTACGTGAAAATCTCATTGATGTTTTGAAGTATGTGCAGTCAAGGATTCTTCTGTCTTCTGGCGAAAAATGTGATTGGTTCACCATGATTATGTTCCTCATTTATGGTGGGAATGTTGAGAGGTATGATGATGCAAGTGTGAGCTACCTCTTGTTTGTATTTTGTCAGCCAGGGAATTTCTGTTTGGAGTTATGTAGCCATCGTCAGATTACACAAGACTATTCATCAAAAACACATTGTTTTTTGTTACTGTACTACGAGTAGTTATGGGAGAACCTCACATTTAATAATTTAGTAGTTGCCTTTATTGCAATGTTGGAGGAAGACATAACAAGGCTTGGGATAAATGCCCCGGCTTTTCAAAACAAATAGGAAACAAGCCTCTCGTGGCTTTGTCAGCTATCATTGGTTAAATTGACTAAATGTAAATTATTATTAAGTCTAAAGTGTAATTATTATTATTGCAGAAATATATCATTTATTTTATGTATGTGTTGTTACTCCTAGCTGTGGAAAGAGAGACATTAACTGAACTTGCTGGAATTGATAATACTCTATTCTGATCAAACAGTTTTCCTGTAATTTGATTGAATTATAACCAGCACCTTGTTTTTTTATATACTGTACGTACATTCTAAGTAATTTTAATAACCTCATTAATTTTCTGAATCTTTCACTATTGTCACTTCACTAAATTTATCATCCACACATAAAGAACTTACATGGTTTCCAGGTATCCTTATTTCTTCCTCAGTAGTGTCAGATAATTCAAATTTCTTTGCTCAACCCGTAAATATATCATGCAAAAAGCAGCTGTTTTAATAAAAAAAAATTTTAGTGTGTTTGCCTTTGATGTTGATACTGAATTGTTTATTTAGCCAGAAAAATACAGATACATAGGGATAATAATAACAGTATTGACATAGCTGAGCCAATTGAGAGCCTGAGCTCTCTTAATGGCTGTTCAGTTCACTGCTACTTCTGGCAATTTTCTTAATGGTTTTTATTCCACATAGCATTTTCCATCCTCTAATTATCCTCCTACAATATGTTCACCCACAAAACTTTTAGCACTCCTTTGTATCAAAAACTTTTATACATATGGTAGTCTTTGCTTCTTCCATCTTTTTCAGAAAATATCTCAGTGTGGGAATCTGCTCCACATAAATTCACCCTTCCATAAGTTTTTCATGCACATTTCTACTTTTCTCATATTTTTAATTTCCTTACCATGTCCTTGTCGTGTATCACAGTTCCTATACTGAAAGGCTTTATATTAACTACAGTGGTCCCTCAATTAATGAACAGTTCAATTAACGAAATTTCGGTTCATGAATTAGCTCCCATAAGGATTTTTAGTTCCATTAATGACAGCCTTACGAGAGACACGCTTTGTTGTACGCATCAGCTGATCGGCTAGTCCGCCAATACAGTAATTGGTTCTACAGGGAGTTCTGCTATAACGCGTATTTTGATAACGCGAATTTGCTCTAACGCGATTTATGAATTCGGAACAATATTTGTATAACGCGAACGCTTGTTTGCTATAACGCGATTTTTGCTTACTATTTCTCCAATTTTGTGGTATTAACTGTGAATATGGTAAAGAAGAATATCTCCAAAAAGCGCTCTGATGATAGAATTCCCGGTGATTATCGTAAAAGAAAGGATATAACACTTGAAGAGAAGCTCAATGTTATCAACCTCAAAATCACCCTTCTCCCCCATCAAGTTACATTCATATTTTTTCAAGGTAAAGTGTTAAATTTACTGTATGATTTCATTATTAGATATGAATGTAACATTTATTTATACTGTGCTATCCTTTGTGTTAGGCTAAATACTAAATTTTTTCGATTTCGAGTAATCTGCACCTAACCCTATTTTCTCCATAAGCCCTGTTATTTCTATTACGCGATTTTCTATAACACGATATTTTACAAGAACACAATTATCGCGTTATAGCAGAACTACCTGTATGTTTACATTCATTTCCAGTGGAGTAAATATCAAGAAAATTGTGCTCTTGAATATTTTTGCATTTTTTATATTAAGATTATTGGTCATTCTAATTTAGTTAACATATTGATAATATATACAGTACTGTACAGGGAACAGCTTTTGTGTGCCAATCAGCTGATTGAATCACCTACCAACGCTTCTCAGTTTAACTTTGTTTACAGTGGAGTGAACATCCAGTATGTTGGTCTCTTGAATATTTTTGCATTTTTACATTAAAATTATTGGTCATTTTGAAATTTAGTTCACATATTGATAATATACAGTGCAGAAATTATTATGAAACATGAAGGAGGCATTAGAACCAATGCACTCTGTAAAGAATATGGCATGTCATCATCGACTGCCTCTACATTCAGCTGTTTGATATGTGAACAAAGCTGCCGGGAATACGACATACACACCTCGAAGTTAGTTAAAATACAGTACAGTATTCTATTGTTTTTTATTTATTATTATACAGTATACTGTACAGTACAGTACTGTAATTAGTTTATATTTAATGTTTTGTTAATTCTATTACCGGTATACAGTGCTCTGTATGTATATTTTTTCTGTGAGTTGGAACCAATTACCCAATATCCCATTGAAATAATAGATTCAGTTAACAAAATTTTCGGTTAACAACCAACTCTCTGGAACCAATTTTGTTCGTTAATTGAGGGACCACTGTATTTGTATTTAGGTAATAGTGTATATGCACAGTAATACAGTAAAACCTCGATTAGTCGACTTCAATATATCAGAATATGCTTTTTTTGGACTCTGAGGTGCTCTGGAATACCCCTTTATTTATCAGAAATATTATAAAAAAGTCTGGAAAATCGTGCATCAGTCCAGATGGTTTGTGTGTTCGTATGTGCGTGGGTGTCATGACTCAGACGGCCCGTGCCTCAGTCTGAGTCCCACATTCACACATATCACCAGTGCACTCACTTTGCTACCTGCACTCATTTGTGTGAACTTTTAGTGGTTTACTACAAACTTTTGTGTTGTGATGGCTTCCCCTACTCCATCAACGTCTCATGTATACAGTAATACAGTGATATCTTTGTTAGCCGGAACAACTGGTGCAGAGCACTTCCGGGAATAAGAGATTTCTGAGTAATGAGACGACTCTCTCAAAGCCGGAAAAAATCCCTGATCCCCAGAATTTTCCGAAATTTTCCTTGTACAGTAACGGGAAAATTTACTTGGAAGTTCCAGAAATTGCACATAACATCACTTCCTGAACCCGGAAAGAAATCCCCCATCCCCGGAATTTTTGCAGGTACCAGAATTTTTTCATAATATTCCGGAATGATACATTATTTCATCTCTCAAAGCCAGAAAAAATTCCCCATCCCCAGAATTTTCCGGGTACCGGTACTGAAAAAAATTTTCTCAGAATTTCCGGAAAATGACCCTGATCTCTCAAACATGGAATAAAAATCTCCCATCCTCGGAATTTTCCGGACACTTGAGAAAATTTTCCTGGAATTTTTCAGAAGATGTGCCCCTCGGAAAAAATCATTCCCAAAGCTGTAATTTTCTGGAAAATTCCTGCTTTGGGAAAGATTTTCCGGAGGAAATTTTATTATGGCTATTGGAGAGTTCCGGTTACGAGGGATTCCGGCTAAGGGAGATATTACTGTATTAAGTATACAGTAATATCTCCATTAGCCGGAATCCCTCTAACCCAGAAATTTCCCATAGCCGGAATTGAAATTTGCTCAGAAAATTACCCGGTAGTGCTCGGTCCATTTACTTCAGTTTTTTCACTTTCATCAGTGAGTACAGTATAGTACTTTGTAGTAAGTGCTGGGACGCTGGAAAGTTTTAAAAGGAAGATTGATAGATTCATGGACGATACAGGATGGTTGTAACTCCCGACAGGAGCTGCCATGCACAGGCCAACCGGCCTATTGCCGACTCCTTATTTTCTTATGCATATTCATCATGTTTAAGTTAGACATTCTTACAACAAGAGAGAAGCCAGTCTGCCCACTGTCGGAGTTGTTTCTCCATGAATGAGTCAATCAAGAGGATTGCCAAGAAGATTAGAGTCGTAATTTCAGAAAGATAAACATAATTTTCTTTGTATTTTTTTTTATTCAGTTACATGCACACACAATCCTAAATACAGAATGTGCAAAAAAAATAAAAATCATTAGGTTAAAAACATGAAATTATTAAGCATTTCTTTGTGTATCAGCGGGAGGGGGAGTTGCTAGGGGAAGTCTCCAGCTGGGTCCGATTGCTATGGTGAGGCTTGAGGAAGGCCATGCGTGACTCAGCTAGTGTCTGCAAATGGCCGTGATGTTATACTTTCTGGAACTGATTTCATGGACACGCCAGTGCCTCCCTAACATCATGTTTAAGTGAATTTTGTAGATGTATGTGTATTAGTGAGCTACTTTAGAGTGAGTGGACAGTGTAAAACCTTTAAAACTTGTAGGATCTACTTATGAGGTCTCCACTTTTGCACGAGGCAAAATTATCACTTTACAGTACGAAACAGTCATATCAGTGAAAACTTATGTCTAATTTTCTGAAAACGGTTCAGATAAGCAGAGTTAAGTCCGAACCACCCACAGATTTTCTTTTTTCGGACCGACTGGGGTCTGCCATAATTAGTTTGGTTTATCGAGGTTTTACTGTACTGTATAGAAATTGAACAGTGTGTGTATACCCCATGCTTAAAGAAAATTTCAGGCAGAGAAATAAATAAAAAATTTGTTTTATAATTGATGCTTTATCCTTTTCATTAATACAAACTAAACAAATATTTACTATACTGTACCAAAAATTTATGTGTGTTCCTTCTCAGGTGTCGGTGTGCCCTGGCAAATTTGAGTGGATTACTTGTAGGGGCTGTCCTGTGGCCCTCACTCTCAGACTCCCTCACAACTTCCTATGAGATAATGCCAGGAGAGATGACTTTGGGAGGAATCATCCATAATGTCCAGCTGGTTTTGAATCTAGAAATTCCAACTCTACATTTGGCTCTACAGGTACAGTACAGAGATTGATCGATCAGGGAGATTATTAGATTATTAGTTCTGTAATTGGTAAAAGTCATTTAAAATTATAATTAAATATATAATTTTCTACCTTTCTTTTAAACATATAAAAAGGTCAAGGAGAGATCAAACAAGTGTCACTGTCAAATCTGGGCCGGTATACACAAAACTTTTAAGGGTCTTAATAGTTCTGTTCAGTTAAAAAACCTCGGGAGCACTCTTGAGTCCCGTAATAGTCGTCTGTTAGTTGATACCCTGGCGAACCAACAACAACATCAGCGGCGGCAACGCATTTATCGGTAAAGGAGAGATATATTTAATGAATATGGTGTGTACAGTATATATTAAATTTAGTGAGAATATATTGTGTGTATTCCCTCTATATAGCGGAGATCTTCTTTCTTGACTTGGACAATACTGAGAACCAGCGAGTCTCACACTCTGCCACTGACCTCACCTCACCAGGAAATGCAGCATTGACTCTCATGGTGATTTCCAGCCATGCCCTCTTTGGTTATTTTTTTTAACCACCCATCACCTTTTTTTCACATGAAAAAGCCGTTTTTTTTTTCTTCTTCTTCTAAAAACCAGTTTTTGTGATAAAGTCCAGAATGCGACATCTAGCTTTATACCTAGGTATGTAAATGCCTCGCATTAACTCGCCAGGCCAACATACTGGCAATTAAAACATCTAATAATTACTTAAATACATAATATTAGGAGGACACGTCACTACATGGCATTTAATTGCAATTCTCAAAACCCCCTCCCGCACCCTCCATCACACGCATTGCTATTGTCATCTCTTGCCCTAGGGCGAGCAGTAAACAAATGTCAACTCTCGAGACGTGGAAATGGGTGGGATGTCGACTTCGCATTCTGGCTTTTAGAAAAAAAACGGCTTTTTGTTCAATCCAGAATGCGAAGTCTAGCTTTGATTACCCGAGCAGGAGGTGGAGAGGGAGGTGACATTGTGTATAAGGCTCCGCTAGCTTAGGTCCAGATTATAATTATAAACTTTTTGGAATATTTTCCAATATTAGGAGCATTTACCGGAAGGTAAAATGTTAATTTACATATCCCAATTAGGATATTCACTTTACTCTGATGAGGAAGAAGGTCCTGGTTGTGGAGATTGACTAGGTGGGGGAGGGGACCCCAGTACTACCACACGTGAAGCATCTTCCAGAGATAGATGAAGATAGCTGTTTTGAAAGGTTTTTGAAGATTTCCAAAAGCACACTTCTTTGATCTGACTGAGGCTCATTTGCTGCAGAAAGGCCACAGACCCTGCATATTTCCTGGTGTCATGTGCCCAAAATTTCTTACCAGGGTCTGCTCGACTCACTAACTGAGATAAACATTTTGTCATTTGACTAGGAGACAATTTCTTACCATCCTGGGCACAATATATGAGGAACCCTTGTCTCATCCATTAGCCATTTTATCCTGATATGTTGAGCTTGAAAATCCTCCCTTTCATTTTTTCTAAGGAGCTCCATAGGATAAAAAGTGACATCTTCCTCAGAAAATACCAATAATGATGGATTATTGGAAATTGAAATCAGTTCACTGATTCTCATACCTGTTGCTATTGCTAGAAGGAAGGCTGCCTTCTGGAACAATCTGTCCCGGGTCAGATTTATATTGTAATTAGGCCCCATAAGAAATTTAGTAACTTTATCAAGAGACCAAGGTGGGATTTTCTTAGGCCGAGGGGGGTCTCTAAATGAAAAAGGACGATCTGAGCATTTGATAAATTCTTGGGTTCAAAGTAATATTAAGACCCCACACCAGAGGGTCAACCAATGCTGATTTATAAGATGCAATTGTAGATCCTTGAAGGCCTTTAACTCTGAACAGAAAATCTAAAAATTCTAACACCACTGTTCCCGACAATGTGATTGGAGTCATTAACCTGATAATTTGTTAAAAAAATTTCCAAGCTTTCTCATATTGCATAGAAGTTTGGGGTCTATAACCTGCTATCACTTGGTAAACTATATTGGAATTACCCAACAATCTATTTAAGCATCTTTTGAGAAACACCAAGTGTGAAGTGCCAAGGATATCTTGAACTGAGGGTGGAATACCTGGTCTAGACATCCTTATTGCAATTGTAGTGGATGCGGCACCATTCCAACAGATCCAGTCACCACGGTTGTAGGATCCAATATGGTGCAATTAAGAGGACCTTTCCTTGGAAGGATCTGAGTTTGTGAACCTCTTTGGGCAACATTTTCACAGTTGGGAACAGATAGATTGAATTCCAACTGTTCCAATCTATGAGTAGAGCATTTCCTAAAAGATTCGATCATTCCAGAGATACATAAGTTGGCATTGTGTGATTGTTTTGTGAGGCAAAGAGATCTATTTGTGGAGTCCCAAACCTCCTCACTAGACTCTTGAACAGTTTCCATCGATACTGGCCTGAGATGGGACAGTGCATCTGCCCAATTGTTTTGTACTCCCAGTATGTGAGTTGCTTTGAGGTAAAGTGTTTGTGTTACACAAACTTTGAATTTTTTTTCTGACAGTGTGAGAAGGGGCCAAGATCTGGTTGAGTCTTGATGATTGAGACAAAACACTGCCGCTCTGTTGTCCATGGCAAACAGTATCGTCATGTTTTTTAAATTTGGGTTTGCCTACAAAAAGAAAAGGACTACTGCTAATTCTTTTATGATTATCCCAAAGGGAGTAGCTCCACTTCCCTTGACGGAACTCTCCTTTTGAGGAATGGTATCCTCCATCCTATCTCGGATGCATCCGTACAAACGACCAAGTCTGTTTGAGGGGGAACCCAGGGAGATGAACCGATTAGATTGTCCAAATTTGTCCACCATGACAGACGATTCTTGATCTGAATAGGTAGAGAAGAAACAATATTTTGTTTCTGTGAAGCAACTTCAACCCCAGATGAGTTAGTTGCTTCTTCCTTAACGTGCCCAAAAGAACTACTATGGTGGCAAAATTCAACAGACCCAGTAGGTTTTCCCAATCGTGCCAAGAAACCTCTTGCTTTGCACAAAAGGCTTCTATACTTGGTTTATCACATCTGTTACCTTTGCTCCTGGTAGACTGACTGACTGCTGATTGGTGTCCCAATGGAGACCTAACCAATCCAATTTCTGACATGGTAGATTTGATTTGACCTGGTTTATTTTTAATCCTAGGTTTTGAAATAGTACTAGTGTACGTTGGGTCGCCCTTTGACAGTCTTCGAAAGAGTTTCCCACTATCAGCCAATCGTCTAGATAAGCAAAAGTTCTTATGCCCTCCTTCACAAGGATCTCCCTGGGGATGTTTGCCAGTTTTGTAAACACTTTTGGCACAATTGTCAGGCCAAATGGCATCACTGTGAATTGATAACTTACATCCCCCACTGCAAACTCTAGAAACTTTCTGTACCTGGGGGAAACAGGCATGTGATAATAGGCATCTTCGAGATCCACTTTTGAGATCCAAGCATTGGGCAGAAGTAGATGCCTCAGATAATTGTAAGTGAGCATCTTGAAACTTCTTTTGGTAATGAACTTGTTCAGGACGGAAAGATCTGAAATCCACCTCAATTTGTCGCTGCCCTTCTTGGGGACTGGGAACAGGTGAGACATGAAGCACTTCTCTGAGTGCAACAATTCTATCACACCTCTGTTTAACAGTTGAATTACAAATTCTGTGGGTAAGGGGGTTGGTTTCTGCCCTTTTTGGTAACACCAGGGGAGGGCGCCTCAGCCAAGTCTATGTGTGGCCCCCTTTGATTGTCTTGTACGCCCATATGGAAGAAGTCCACCTGTTTTCCCAACCCCCTAGACGACCCAGCTGTCTGGCTTCATTGGAAGGGAGTGGTCGCTGATGTGGTGGAATAAGGTCTCCTTCCACTTCTGAACAAGCCACCCCTACTATATATATATATATATATATATATATATATATATATATATATATATATATATATATATATATATATATATATATATATATATATATATATATATATATATATATATATATATATATATATATATATATATATATATTCGTTCGTTATAGGATTAATCCGTTCCAGGCCCCCAAATACAACCACTTAACACTGAAAAAATTCTGTGGAAAATGTAAAAAATACGGTACTTTATCTTACCTTAGTGTTATTCAGCATGCAGGTACCCCTAAACACTGGCACATCACTATCACTTCCACTGGGAGTCTTGGCTTTAAGGTCCTCAAACAATTGTTTAGCCTTCTCACAAATTATAGCTTCACTAATGTTACCACCTGCCATTTCTTTCTCCTTTATCCACACTAAGAGTAAATTTTCCATCTCTTCAATCACATTACACTTTGCTTTGCTAAGTCTAAAGATTCCCTTAGCCACTTGCACAGTTTTTAACTCCTCTTTATTCTTCAAAATCGTACATATAGTCGATTTAGCCATCCCATATTCATCACTAAGTTTCGCAATGCTTCTTCCATTCTCACGTTTCTTTATAATTTCTTTCTTAGTTTCAAGGGTTATTAGCTTTCTCACTCGCTTTGGACGACTCATTGTTACAATTGTATACTTGTATAACAAAATAGTTATACAAATAAACGCGAATTTCCACATCAAAAGACGAAATTTCAACAATAACAGTGGTGCACTGGCTACACAATGAGACAAAGATGGCGCCTGACGCTCTTGTTGTGGGTCGCGGTACAACAATATTCATGCGCCAGGCGAAATAGTCCCGTATTCATCCGCGTTCGTTGTAGGAGTTGCGTTCGTTATAGCATTCTCAATTTTATAGGTAAAACCGTTCGTTATAGGAATATTCGTAGTAGGATCCGTTCGTTATAGCATATACACGTAGTTCTGCTATAACGCGATAATTGTGTTCTTGTAAAATATCGTGTTATAGAAAATCGCGTAATAGAAATAACAGGGCTTATGGAGAAAATAGGGTTAGGTGCAGATTACTCGAAATCGAAAAAATTTAGTAGTTAGCCTAACACAA